TTCTCTCCAACTTCTAAAGAAAGCCACACCAAGAGCAATTAAAGCAACCAAGACAGCCGACAATTCAGCCACCTCCCCAGGCGCCCGAAGCACTTCCTGTATTGATCAGCCCAGCACCCAGGTAATTAGAAATCAGGAACACAGTCACCAGGGTAATAACAGTGTCCAAGCTGGTCAATAGGATCCGTTCTCAGGAGGAGATTATGCACGCCCCGTGCCATCCTCCTAATTGGCCTCACACATCAGGGGAACGGTACCCAGGCCTTGTCACCTGGCCAGCCTACAAATGCTTCTGGGAAGCGTCCAGATCAGCACTTGTCAGCTCCCAGCCTTGCTCCAGATGATGGGTCAGCAGTTTCGGGGCCGCAGCTGCCAGGCTTCAGAGCCAACAAGCCCGCCCAGCCTTCTGTGTCCCTGGTGCCAGCATCCCCCGTGCCCCCCACCCCATCACACCTGCGCTCACACTGGCAGGTACTGTGCCCCCCAAGCCTGACTGAAACCGGGCCAGATTCAGGCACAAAAGGGTGCAGACGGAGCCACAGCGCAGCGGCTCCCCGGCCAAAAGCAAGCTGTTTCCTCTGTGAAACGAGAGGTCTGGCGGCACAGGGGTTCACAGGCGTTCCGTGCCTGTTCAGTGAGGATCCCCCACGAGAGGAGCGGCCAAGACGCTTCTAAAAGCCCGGTCGCTGCACTCCTGCTCCCCTCCACTGTGCCTCCACTTCCCATCTCTGTCAGAACCTTTGAACACACGCGGCCCCGGGTGACCGACGACGCTCTCACACTGTGATAGAAAGGTCAGGTACACACTCGGAGGGCAATTTGGTCAAACACATGTATCTTTTAGGGTAAAAAAACTACTGCTAAGAATTTGTCCAACCAAAATAACACTGCTTACTGGTGGGGAAAATAACCCCACTGGAGACAACCTGATGGCCATCAGCAGGGGAACCAGGCCCATCAGAATCCACCCACACCACAGACACCGCAGAGATCCCGACAATTCAGAGGGCCATCTGTGTCGGCGCACAAATACTGTCAGAAATTAAGTGAAAAAAAGCAAGCCTGCAGGGTGACGGTACAGAGTGAGCACCTCTTGGGAGCGGAGCAGGGAATACAAAAAGAGCTTATATGACGAAACATTTTTTCCCCTATTTTTTACATTCTGCACCCACTAAACTCACCATGGTAATCATTCCATGAGATGGATAAGCCCAATCATTATGCTGCATGCCTTAAACTTCTATGGTGCTGTTTGTTGGTGATATTGAAATAAAACTGGAGGAAAAATAAGCTCATATGTACACACAGCACTTCTAGAAAATCACATAGGAATTTACCAGCTTTTGCCCAGAAAAACAGACGAGGGTGAGAGCCGTATCACCCAGCTGCACTGCCCTGGGGGCAGCCCTCAATCCTGCTCCGAGAACGGCAGCCCTGGGCACAACTAGAGCACCAGGTGCTGGCGCCAGGCAGTCACACAGGGCAAGCCTGGAGGGCCGCCTGGAGGAGGTGAGGTTGGCGGAAACCACGTCCACCTGCCTCCTCTGGGGTTTACATGAAGCTACCTGACCTTCTGCAGCCCATACCTGGCTTCACGATGACACTTCTGCAGCACTGGCTCCAAGTCCCCAGAACCCAGAGAAACTGAGAGCCAGGGCTGCTCCCAGCTGCCCGTGGGCCTCACACAGACTCAAGGAATGGGCTCGCTCCCAGAATGAAGGCTTTACACAGCACCCTGTCCACTCCCGACTCCAGGTCAGGCAGGCACCCACTGCGCCACACCGTCCCCAGGCTGGGAGCGGGCTTTTGCTGGGACCTGAACTTGTGCTCTGTGCTAATGACATCGAGCAGTTTTCATGTCTTTATTCACCACACATCTTCTCAAAGTTATCTGTTCAAAGCCTTTCACCCATTCTTTAAAATCTGGTTATCTTATCAATTTCAAACAATTTCACTCTGCATTTTGGATAAAAGTCCTCAGTCAGACACACATATCGCAAATATTTTCCCACACTCCATGTTTTGCCTTATTTTTTTCTGAACAGTGTTTTTTGAAAGCAAAAGTTTTTAATTTTGATGAAATCTAACTTACCAATTTTTTTCCACGTATGTCTTGCTTTTTGTGTCCTAAGAACTCTTTACCAAACCCACGTTCCAGGAGTGTGTTTTTACCCTTAAGTCGGTGCCCCACTGAACTATTCTGTGGACAGTCTGAGGTGCCCATGTATGTGGAGACTCCCTGCTGTCCCAGCACCATCTGCTGAAAGACTCTCTCCCACTGAATTACCTTGTCACCTTTGACTGAAATCAACTGACTCTGAGTTTTTAGACTATTCCTGAGCATTCTATTCTGCCCCACTGATTTACTCCACACTAGGACCACCCTTCCTAATTAACGCTGCTCACAGGGAGCTCGCAGCCTGCCTCTGGAGGCCCTCTGACACATTCTTCTTCCAAAGCCTGACAGCCAGTCCAGGTCCTCTCCATTTCCAGAGAAAGTTTAGAATCAGCTTGTCAATTTCTCCCAGAAAAGCCTCCTGGGGCTGACTGGGATTGCGCGGAACCTACGACTCCCTCCACAATACTGAGTAAGGCGGTATCTGCCTGCGCTGACCTACACTGTGACCAGTTTGCGTTCTCTCAGCCGCTTCTTAGATTACAGCGCACGGATCCCATAAACACCGCTTGTTAAATGAATCCCCGAGTGCATCACAGACACTTCGCAGGGTGTCCCCGTTCGGCACCTTCAAATCACCGGCCAGCCCAGACTGGTGAGCAAAGAGGCTCAGCGCCTCGCAGACCTTCAGCGCCTTCACGCCCTCTGGCCAACCCGCAAGGCCCTGGGACAAGGACACCAGAGGCGCCCGCCCTCCTCACCCCGGCACCCTCAGTGCACAGGCCCCACCGCCCCATGCACGGCATTCCCTCACACCCTCCAAGTCCTGAGGCCAACCTGCCCCCGCTCACATGACCCGTGTGCTGGAGACAAGGGTCAGACAAGGCCAAGAGTGGACGAGCTTGTCTGGCGGATAAGGACACTCGGCTCGACAGGCTTCCCAACAGGTTTGCACTGGCGGGCCCACCAGCCCACTCTACCCCTCCCAGCTGCTATCTCTGGGTCCTCAGGATTGAACAAATCTCAAAACAGGAAGAGGGTGGCCAGTGTCATGCTGGGTGGACCCTTCGCCGTTCCTAACCTCTGCGAGGCTGCTGAGAACCTGAGAGAAGCCACAGCCCGTCCAGAGGAGAGCCCGCGGGGCGGACGCGCGGACTGAAGCAGCAGAAGCTCGGACTCCAGGGCTGACCGCTCCTCACAGAGGCACGCTGACAGCAGGGTGGCTGTGGGACGGTCAGCAGTGGCCGCCTGGCCACCCAAAGGCAGGCGAGAGCTGACAGACCGCAGGCCCTGGTCTCGGCAGCCGGCCCAGGCTGGCAGAGCGCGGGCCAGCGGAGCCGCAGGCAGCAGGTGCCAAGGGCGCAGGGAGCCAGGATCACGGGGGGCGGTGCCACCTAGTGGTGGCAGCTCTCAGAAGCCCAAGGAGCCTGGGCAGTGGCCAGAGCCCGGGGTCATGGCAGGCCCCAAAGGAGCAGACTGTGCCTGTGCTGTGACCTAAAGACCCAAACGCCTCCCAGGCCCTCAAACTGCTGCTGCCAGCACGGCTGCTGGACTCCAGCGTCGACCGTCCACAGAGCCAGCTGACCACGCTTCAGAGACGTGGGTCCCTGGACCAGTCTGCAGAATCTCACGTCTACACACACCCACTCTCAAATCTGCGCTTTTGAGGGGAGATAACAAGTTTTGTCAGATTCTCAAGAGCATGACCCTGTGGTGAGAAGCCCACATTCCAGAAAACTCTTCCATTTACAGATGTGAAAACAAAGGCATAAGAGACCCCACATGGGGTCAGACAGATGACTAGACAGTTTAACAGGGCCAGGAGCTCAAACCCAGGATACCAGGAGCTGGTATCACAGGCACGAGAGGGCACAAGAAAGCAGCCACGAGCTTCCTCCTCTGACGAGAGCCTCCCTGGGAGCGGGCGGGAAGCTCACGAGCCCAGAGAACAGGAGAAATTGCAGACAAGAGCCCCACTGGGCCAGCCCACGTGAGCCTGGCTCTGCAGGTGGAGGTCCGGAGGGAACCGCAGCCTGGCCTGTCCTCTGAGACTCAGCGAGGCAGAGAGAAGAAACGGGGCATTTTCAAGTGACAAGCACCTGGACCCTGCAGCGCGATGGAACTGGCAGGTCAGGGAGCAGCAGTCAGAGGGTGTGATTACAGGACAGCCCCTCGCAGTCTTGGCTCAGTTTCCAAGAGCAACAGGAGAGGCAGAGAAAAGAACCCATCTTCAGCTCACACAAGCAAACAAACAGAAGGCTCCTTAACCACCGCAGGACCCGGGAGCCAAGAACTGATCCTAAACCATCAACCTCCCAGCCCTGCACCCGGCGCAGAGTCAGTCTGTGTGGGCTGAGACAGGGTCCAGGGCCTGAGGGCCAGGAGCAGAGCAACCCCGGAAGGGGCGAGGGGGCCCCAGCAGGCCGGGCGGCGGGGCGTGGGAAGACGCACGCCAAGAGCCAGCCCTTGGCACCTGGCAGCCCCGCCCACCGCTCACCTGTGGGGTCAGCGCGACAGACTCGCTAAGGTGCTGCGGAGGCCTGACGGCAAACAACCCCCTGTTGCCGCCTTCCTCCTCCGCCCCGAAGACTCAGTGTGTTTCAACTGCTGCAACCACCTAAAAGAGATCACTTCTCAATAGAACAACTACTTCCTCAGTAAAAACAGACACGGTACTTTCAGAAAGGCCAGCACCGCTGGGCCAGTACCTGCTGGCCCTCAAGAGCATCGTCGGCAGGGAGAGTTGCCTAGCTCCATCCCTTTGAGCCTCAGCAGCCGCGGGCAGGACCTCTGCCAGAGGTACCCAGGGTGCAGGCTCGCTCGCCAAGGGTGCTGCCCATGGAGACAGACGGCAGTGATCGAAGCCCCGGCACCCTCCGCCTACCTGATGCTCAAGCCGGTGGCCTGGTCCAGCCTCTCCCAGCTCTGCAGCTTCGTCAAGAGCCTCTGGAAAGACAGGGAGGGAGACCCCTCAGAGCTCGGTGCCAGCACCTCCACCCAGGGCGCACGGGCCTGCCGTCCCCCCACAGCACACGCGACCCAGACAGGACAGCGTCGCAGGAAACGGACGGTCACGGCGACATCACGGCCCCAGTCCTCCACAACCGCCTGCCCTCGTCTCCAAAACAAGACATGCTCCCAGGCTGCCTCCCAACTGCTGAAGCCACACTGGGTGCTCAGCACTTCATTCACACTGGCCCGTAATTGGGGAGGCTCCCGGCAGGCTAGGACTGAGGCGCCGAGAGCGCCTCACAGACCGTCCTGCAGTAACAGCCTGTGCCCCAGGAAGCAGACCCCGGCCCCCACCACCTCCTCTGTCTTCCCAGTGCTCCTCAGGATGCTCAGCCCCAATTCTGCCCCCAAAACACACACACAGAGCAGGCTGGGGCCATCAGTTCAGTCCAGTCACTCAGTCGTGTCCGGCTCTTTGCAACCCCACAGACTGTAGCACACCAGGCCTCCCATCAGCAACTCCTGAAGCTCACTCAGGCTCACGCCCATGGAGTCAGTGATGCCACCCAACCGTCTCATCCTCTGTCGTCCCCTTCTCCTCCTGCCCTCAGTCTTTCCCAGCATCAGGGTCTCTTCCAATGAGTCAGCTCTTCGCATCAGGTGGCCAAAGTACTGGAGTTTCAGCTTCAGCATCAGTTCTTTCAACGAATATTCAGGACTGATTTCCTTTAGGATGGACTGCTTGGATCTCCTTGCAGTCCAAGGGACTCTCAAGAGTCTTCTCCAACACCACAATTCAAAAGCATCAATTCTTCATGGCTGGGGCCATGGCTGCTGGGAATAACAGGAGGACGCGCCCCCTCGGCCTGAACGTGAGGTCTCAAGCCTGTATCCTCACAGCGGCAGCACACTGACCCGCATGTCGCAGCCTAGCTCCCTCTCCAGGCCGCCTGCCTCCGCCGGGCTCCCCCGGGCTCCACGGTGCTGCTCCACGCGCTCACACAGCCGCTGGAGCCCGCCCTGAGCCCTCTCACGTGCCGGGCACGAGCCTGGTTAACAAGCCTGTGAGTACAGCTGACGCTCAGTCAACACTTACCACTGTTCAAGCACTTCACGTGAACTCGTGCAACCCTCACAACCCTACAGGGAGACACTCCTCATCACACAGGGCGACAGAGAAGCTAAGTAACTGCCAGGGTCACACAGCCAGCGAGCCCACACGGGAGGGTCTGAAACCAGGCAGGGTGATTCCCTACAAAGGGGCTCAACCAACTTTAAAGTAACCTACATCCAAAGTAAGACTACCTGTCTCCAGAACCGCTTCTTCCGGCTGAGCTTCCATATAAGCACGTGTCTGAGAGGATGTGGGCTCTGGCCCCAGGATGCCCCTGGTGGGAACTGCTGGAGGTAGGCCGACCAGACTGGAAGTCATGAGAAGGGGTGCCAGGGCTTATCCCAGGCAAGCCAGAAAGGGAGGTGACGGAGTGTGACCACGGGTAAGCAGTGTGGAAGGACAGAGGACCCTGGGCCTGGAGGCCCCACACTGGTCTGCCCAGGAGAACTCGGGTGCTTTGGCACCAACGTGCATGGCCATCTGCACAATGTCCCACAGAATGCCCGCAGTGAGTCCCAGTAGCAGACAGGGGAGAGGAATCACAGCACAGGAGTCTGTTCCTTCTGTCGGTGAACAATGTCTGTCCCAGGCATCAGAGAGTCCTCTCCTCTCCTCAACAGCTGGCTGAATATTCCAAGGGCTACTGAAACCAACCACCACGCACTCAGTAGCTGAGGACACACATTCACTGTCCTGAGCCCCACAGGTCGGCAGTCCAGTGAGGGCCTCCCTGGGCTAGATCCAGGGGTCAGAGAGTCACGCTCCACAGGACACTCCAGCTTCTAGAGGGCCCCAAGTTCCCTGACTCATGGCCCCTCCACCTTCAACGCCACCAAGAGCAGCACGCCAAGTCCCCCTCGCCCCACACGGCTCTGCGCTCCTCTACCCGCTCCTGCACCCGCCAGAACCTGGGAGCACACTGGTTCCCCCGGGGGCCAGCAGGAGCCTCAGGGCCGCCTCCTACCGCAGGCTAGTGGTCAGCACCCAGAGGTCCCTTTTCTCCATAGTTCTGGGGGCCAGGACGGGGCTGACTTCAGGGACCACCATTCCACCCACCATACGAGCCCAACAGCCGCCATTCTAGCGGATCAGCTGGGATGTAGGGTCCCCTTGGCAACTGGAGGACCCCAGAGACAGGCTGGCTCACCTCCTTCTCCAGCTCGAGGTCCACCAGCGTCTCCTGCATCTTCTCCTGCCGCCCCAGCCTGCGCTGCAGCCCTTCCAGCTCCTCCCGCAGCAGCCCATTGGTGTCCCGCGTCTCCCTGGCAGAGTCAGAAGCAGAGTCATTCAAACAGCCACACACCCCAGGGACGGGTGCAGAGGCCCTGACCCCGGAAGGCTGTGTACCCATGTGTGTGCATACGTGTGTACATGTGTGTGCGCACACAGGGGCACACATCCCGGCCCCTCACCACAGGCAGGCATTCTCCATGCACACACACGTGCACACGCACGCAGACACACACACATGTGCACACGCATGCGTGCACACACCCCCGGCCCCTCACCGCAGGCAGGCGTTCTCCATGCACACACACGTGCACACGCATGCGTGCACACACCCCCGGCCCCTCACCGCAGGCAGGCGTTCTCCATGCACACACACGTGCACACGCATGCGTGCACACACCCCCGGCCCCTCACCGCAGGCAGGCGTTCTCCATGCACACACACGTGCACACGCATGCGTGCACACACCCCCGGCCCCTCACCGCAGGCAGGCGTTCTCTTCCCGCAGCTGCCGCAGCTCCCTCTCCATCGCCGGCAGCCGCACCAGCTCAGACCTCATGTTCTTCACGATCGCAGCGTCCTGCTCCTGCAGGGACAGCTTTTGCTCCAAATCCTGATTGAGGCGGGAGACAGAGAGGAGGGAGACAGTCAGACGCCACACGCTCCCAGGCCCCTGACAGCCTCCGGGGCCCCAGCCCCGCGAGTCACGTGCAGAGCTGCCCGTGGGGCGGGAGCCCGGCACACACGGCACGAGGACACGCAGCAAAGCCTCCGAGGAGAGACGCCCGCCCGTCCGCGGGGCTCTGCCTGCTGGCCCCGTGTGCGGCGTGACGACCGAGTCCTTGCACAGTGAGGCCTTTCCTTCCTGCGTGGAGTCCCCGGGGACGTGTGGGGATGCCGGTGAGACTCCAGCACGAGTCACAGAGCAGGTTAAGAACACGGGCCCAGGGCTAAACCGGGCAGTCGTTCAGCCAACACTCAGGGGGCCAGGCCCTGGGTCAAGCAGTGAGAGCAGTGGCCCAGAGGAGACAAGGTCCCCGCAGGGAAGGACAGACGCCAGCCCAGCGGCGGGGCAGTACTGAGGGGCCGCCAAGGGGTGGGCAGATGGGCAGGAAGAGCCAGTGGCAGGAAGCAGTGCGGACCGGGAGGGGAGGTGGACAGGCACTGTGGCCACTGAGGACACCACATGAAGACCGAGGCGAGAGTCCCGGAGGCCTGGCCCTGCCGAGCTGCAGCTGCGGCTGGCCTGGGGCCAGCACACGCTGGAGGAGGGGGAGCCGAGAGGGAAGGTGGCTCTGGGGGCAGCACGTGGCGTCACAGGGGGCAGGTGTCCCTGGCTCCCCCAGGCCCTCCCGCAGTGAGGCAGCACAGCCGGAACTGCAGAGTCCACCTAAGCGGGCCGTCCCACCCCAGGCAGTCCGCTCTCCCCCGAGTCCTGCGCGGCCGTCACAGCAGTCCAGGGACTGGAAGTACCCCATGCTGACTTTCCACTCTGTGTGCTTGACTGATTTCACGCAAAGACTGTGAGCTTCCTGAGAGCAGCACACGCCTCCTACTTCCTGTCACACCCCAGCACCTGGCTCGGGGCCTGGGGCATGAGGAGGTGACCGGCAGTTGTGAACAGCTGCAGCAGACACAGGCAGCTAATCTCCCCGGACGCTGCTAAGCACGCCCCGCGGGTCATAGGAGGCCAAGCCAGCACCGTGAGGCCGGCCAGACACGAGCCTCTCACCTTAATCCTCTGCCCCTGGTCTGCCAGCCCTTCCTGGCTGGCCTGAAGCTCCTGGACCTTCTGGTTAGCTTCCTGCCATTTCCTGTTGAAAGAAGAGTATAACACGTGTGAAAACGGGCAGGTGGTAAGGCCAGCAACTGCCCTCACTCTCAAAGCTCTCCAGCAGAAACACGCACACACTCATACACAAATGAGCACACACTCCCACACACTCCCTGCTGCAAGGAGACTCGGGCCTCTGTGGCCTGAGTCTCAGGGCAGGTGGGTAAGTCCAGACCACCTGCGAGTTCTCTTCCTCGCAGAAAAGGTTCTCTTTTCTCTCCATAGTTCTCTCAACACAAGCTGCTGCTGGCCCAGGAACAGCCAAAGCCCAGGACCCACTTAGGACTGCACCCCCACGTCCCACCAAGTGACCAGACCACCAAGACAACACCTGATAAGGCAGAGGCCGCCAGCTGCAGGAGAGCGTGTCTCCACCGCATCTCCAGGCGAGCACGACCACGACCACGACCACACTGCCGTGCCTGTGAGCAGAAGGCTCCCTCCCCCAAAACGTCCTTTCCCACTCACGCCCCCCCAACCCCAGGCATGTCCCACACAGCCTTCAAAACGCAGCTGAAACCTAATACCTTCTCTGGAAACTCCTGCCAAGCAGGCACCCCCCAGAGAAGAGGGGAGAAAGGACTGTTCCCACTTCTTGTTCCTGGAACACATCAAACACTGCTCTGTTCCGGCCCTTACAGTCCTGGCTTCAGGTCTCAGTGTGTGCCCCCGAGCCTGCGGACGGGGGGGACAGCACGTGCAGGGCGTTCACGGGCCCGCTGGGCTTCAGTGCACGACATTCGTGCGCACTGGGTGCTCGGGCCATGAGGGCACACACAGGACAGTGAGCCTGGGTCTTGTACATGGATAACCAGTGGATGTCCAGTTCAGTGCATGCCCCAGCAGGCTCCAGGCCGACGGCCTCCAGGAGGACAGATGGCCAGGCTCGCCTGGCACGGCGGCAAAGACGCCTGCCCTGGACGTTGGCAGCCCTGCCCGCCCTCCACTCACTGGTGCTGCAGGTCCAACTGCTCCTTCAGCTCCTGCTTCTCAGACTCCAGGCGTTTCACCTGCATCTCCTGGTTCATCACGCTCCACTGCAGGTCCGAGAGCCTCCCCTTTAATGTGGTGATGGTCTGAAAGTGAGATGCAAGCCACTCACCCGGGTCTCTGGCACAGGCACGGAGGGGAGCCTCTCACATAGAAACTCGGGGCCAACGCTCTCCTGAAAGCCGGCTCCCATCCAGCCCGCTCCTGAGGGCAAGGACAGAGCCTGTGACCGCCCCTCGAGCCGAGCCTCAATGACAGACAGCCTCAGGAGTGAGGACACTGCTGGCCACGACAGGCCCGGACCGCACCCCATCATCCCCCCCGCTGTGTACACACAGCCCCCAGTCCGCAGCAGCTCCGGGCGGCCCCGCACCCCGTCACCCCTCCCGCTGTGTGCACACAGCCCCCAGTCCTCAGCAGCTCCGCACGGCTCTCCTTCCACACCTGCTCTGCCTCTCAGCCTGGATTCCTTCTCCAGCTGCCCCATCCCAGCCCTGCAGCAGATGCTACCTGTGAACCAGCCAGGCGCCCGCCAAGAACGCAGGAGCAGGAGCAGAGGGTGTCCTTAAAACGGACAAGAGTGGCCCGAGTGCCACAGAGCCTGCCGCGTACAAAGGCCAGACACGGTCGCTGAGGAAGGCAGGGGCAGGCCGGCAAGCCCACCGGGCGGACACAGGTACAGACCGCAGCCTCCCCAGACAACCTTCTGCTGATGGGGCTCCTCTGTGACTGTCCCGGGGCAAGAGACCACACCTCCAACAGGAAAGCCAGCCCGCAGGTGTGCCACTCTAAGTGGACAAGAGGAAACATCAGCCAGAGAGCCAGACAGCAACCTACAGGCCGAGGGCAGAGGATGGACCGGCGAGCTCACCACATGAGCAACAGCTGCACGGGGCGCCCCGTGTAAACACGGCGGCCACGGCACGCCCTCACCTGCCCAGCCCAGGGCAGTGTGAGTGCAGCCACGCGGCCCCCCGCAGGCCCCGGAGGGGCTGACCGCAGGGGGCGGGGGCTCCGGGCCCTTCCCTCTTAACGTCCTGCGTGATTCCCTTTATTACAACAATCAACCTGAGACTCAAAGAAGAAGGAACATACTAAAACTATGTAACAATCAACATAGCCTTTGACAACTCTTCCTGAATTAAACAGACAGGCGCTGTGCTGAATACTGCAATCAGACACCGGCCCCACGGAGGACAAACCTGTGGGGAAGCCCAGCCGTCAGCAAGATGACCTCAGAGCGCAAGCGCCTAAACCAGGGCACCATGACAAGAAAACACTGTCGACCGGCAGGGTGGGCATGGGATTTACAGCCCTGGATCCAGACTGGGGGGGAGTCTCCAAGGGCGTGAAAAGCAAGGAAAGCAGCAGGGCTCCGTCCCAACTCCCCACCGCCTTTGCCCTGCCAGGGCCCAGCGCGGCCTGCTCTGCTACTTCCGCCCTCCATGAAACTGTGTGCAGGACACGCCCGCCCCGAGACTCCCGCCCCTGCCCCCGGGGCAGCCTGCAGTGGGGCACAGGCAGGCACACACCAGTGCAGGACACGCCCACCCCGAGACTCCCGCCCCTGCCCCCGGAGCAGCCTGCAGTGGGGCACAGGCAGGCACACACCAGGGTGGGAGGAGGGCTTGTCCTGAGGCCGCTCACGGCGCCGTCCTGCCAACATCCACATCAGAGGACAGAGGCAGGAACAACCTTAACAGGCTCTCCAGTGTCGCCAAGGCAAAAATAACCTGGAGTCCGCTCCCAAGATCTATCAAGAAGAGAAAACTACGCAGAGACAGAATACCAATGATGCCCAGGCTCCCCCCGGCAGCGCTTCATCTGTTTCCTCACGGCACCTGTGACCTTGAGCAGCTCAGGGAAGGGACAGGAAAGGTCAGGAGTCCAACCCGCACCTGCAGCAGCGCTCAGGCCCCGTTTCTAAAATGCACGCAGCCTCAGCTGGTGGAGGCAGGACCACGGTTCACCCGCGTTCTGGCTCCACAGAGATTCTCAGATGCTAACAACCAAAGACACGGAAATGCAGAGGAAACCACTTACACCTTCCTGGGCAGGGGGGTGAGAACCACAAGTATTCCATCTGTAACAGGGAAGGTCACAGTGAGAGCAGAGTCCTCAACAATGGCTACTGGCAGCGTATGGCAACTGGCAGCAAGAGCCATAAAGAACCCTGTAACTGGCGATCAGATAACACCATCCCACAAACCCCTAGGGGTTTGTCCAAACAGAATCATTCGACAGAAACAAAAAGAGGACCTGCATGAAGCTATGTGCCCAGCATGTATCCATACCAGGATGTGTGTGTGGAGAACGAACATTTGAAGGTGACTGAAAATGGATTAATCAACCACTAAAAATCATAATTACAAAGACTAAAAAAGCATTCAACTTATTAACTGAAAACCACAAAATGGAAAATTAATACTTTCGCTATGATCACACCTCTGCAAAACATGCAGGCAGAGCAGAATCGCGCAGGGACCGCCGCCTGCAGCTGCAGGCTGGGGGCGGGCCCACGCCAGCCCCCCAAGAAGCAGCGCCCCCGCGGCCCGCACCTCCGCGGCCTCGGCCTGGCTGCCCTCCTGCTCCCGCAGCCTCCTGCTGGCCGCGTCCAGACTCTGCTGGCACGACCTGTGGCGCTCCAGCTGCTCCTTCATCTTCGCCTCCGCCTCCGCCTCCCGTTCCTGAAGCTGCCGAATGCGCGTCAGGAGCTCCTGGTTGCGGTCCATCTCGCGCTGCCAAGAAGGATGGGCCTGGTGAGGGGAGTCTGAGCAGGCAGGCCCCCAGCTCCACCCTCAGGACAGGACTGAGACCCAGAGCAGAGCCGCCAAGAGGCCGGTCGTCAAGTCCTCAGCCACCCCAGGGCTGTAGCCGGGACCCCTCCGAGGGGCGCACATGGCCCCGCAGCACACAGGCACAGCTCACAGTGCCCCCCCGAGGGCACGTGGCATGCACCACCCCCGTCAATGACCACTGCTCATGGGAGGGGACAGAGCACAGAAACCTCACTCAGGCTCCACCCTGGGAAGGAGCCTCCGAGCTTGGCAGCTCCAGCAGCTTCCTAATCACACACAGGCTCCCAGCACGGCGAGCTGACTGCCCCCAGAGACCGGGTGGCCAGGCAGCGACAGGTGGAGGGAACAGGCGCCCGCAAACAGGAACACTTGATCCTGGGCCTCAGCTCCACAAAGCTTCAGAGCCACCCTGCACCAGTCCCCGCCGGGCCACGTGGCTTGCCCTGGAAGGCAGGCACAGAACTCAGACTCCCCACTCTAATGACTCCCAGAGGCCCTAAGGTTCCAGTGTCGGCCACTGGGGTGACCCCAGCCCAAGCAACTCAGGGGCCACAGAGTGGGAGCCAGAGTCCCAGCGGCACCAAGTCCTGGCTACCTGGAGCCCGATGCTTGGCTGACCTCTGACCTCAGAAGGCCGAGCCACAGAAGCTCCCACCCAGACAGTGGGGAGGCCCTGAAGTCAGGGGACCCGCCGGGCCACAGGAGCTGGGGCTGGGGCCATGCAGGGACCCGATCAGCGCATCACAGGGCAGGGCGGGGCCCCTCTGCTCGGGCTGCGGTCCCAAGTGCACCCCGACAGTCCAGGCAGGTCCCCAGACCTTGGACACCGAAGTCTCACCATCTAATAGATCTCTCCAGGGGAGACGCTGACCCCCCCCCCCCCCCCCCCCCCCCACCAAACTGCATTCCCGAAAGAACCATCGCAGACCCTGGAGACAAAGGAAAACACGAAAACCATGGCTCAGACGGCTCCAAGCCATCTTCCGTCAGGCCTGGGGCAGACAAGGGAAGGCCTCGCAGAGGGAGGCCCAGGCTCAGCAACGGGCCCCAGGGAGAAGTTCCATCAGTCCTGCACCCTTCCATCTCCCCAGTGACTCACTCCAGCACTTGTGAGAGTCCCATGGCCTCTCCCTTCTCCTCTTCCCATAGGTTCCCCAGGACAGTCCGGCCCAGGAGAACCCAGACCACCAGCCAAAGGCCCACATCACAGAGGAGCACCACTCGGAAGAGGACCACGGGCAGCGCTGAGGCAGCAGGACCCCACCTGCAGAGAACCGCGCTCCTGAGCCCTGACAACGCACCACCACCAGCCACCTGCACGGTGGGGTCAGACACATCCAATCAGCATCCCTCCCTCAAAGGCATCAGCTGTTTCTACAGGGACTGGGAAAGTGCGAGAATGTGCCATGGGAGGCAAGCATGGCGCCAGATACCCACCCAGGAAAAGCAGGGGGCCAGAGGCTTTCTGGTCCAACGCTCCGCCCGAATCTTGGCGGCATGTCCGTGAGTCAGCAGCACGTACTGAAAACCCCGGGCATAGTGCTGTCATCAGAGCAAGGCAAGCACGGAGCTCACGCACTGAGTGAGAGACCCAGCGCCTCCTCTGGGTAACGGCGGTGGGGGCAAGGAAGCCCGAGACCTGGGGACCTCTGCTAGACCCAGCGCCTCCTCTGGGTAACGGCGGTGGGGGCAAGCCAAGGCCACCACAAGGCAGCCCGAGACCTGGGGACCTCTCCTAGACCCAGTGCCTCCTCTGGGTAACGGCGGTGGGGGCAAGCCAAGGCCGCCGCAAGACAGCCTGAGACCTGCGGACTGTGCAAGACCCAGCGCCTCCTCTGGGTAACGGCGGTGGGGGGCAAGCCAAGGCCTCTGCAAGGCAGCCCGAGACCTGCAGACTGTGCAAGACCCAGCCTGGGCCTCAGGCTCTCACACGAGCTGGTGACTTTCCAGCCACACCCAGGCCACCGGGCACTCCTGCCAGACCGGTATGCCAACACTACTAGAGAGGGCAACCAGGCGTCCAGCAGACAGCGCCCACCAGCACCTCCTCAGGCACTGTGGCTCGGCAGCCAGCCCTTCGCGGTGCCTTCCCTGGGGACCCAGGACACCCCCGAGAGCCGACCCGAAGCCTCGGGGGGCCCAGGAAGGCAGGGGGCGCACCTGGGCTCCGGCTGGGGGTTTACTTCCCACGGGCTGGCAGGCACGACACACCCCCATGCTCGGGAGCAGGCTCTCCTGCACCCACCTCGTAGCTTCTGGCGCTGGCGCTGGCCGCTCGTTCCAGCTCCACGCGAGCCCGCTTGTGACTGAGCTCCATCTGCATCTTCTCCCGCTCCACCTGGATGAGGTGAGACTTAGACCGGATCTGCTCGGCTCGCTCCTCCAACTGACCAGGGCCCATGCAAAGGAAAGACAGGTCCTCAGCAGCCGTGTCTCACTCGCACGAGGCGAGGGGCTCACGCGCCACTTCCTCACTGAGCACCTGCTCCCCATAAGGCCCTCACTCAGCTCCGCGAAGAAAGAGCACCAGGCCCCCAGGTGGGAGCCGGGAGCCAGGAGGGGAGGGAGGGTGATGAAGGACAGAAGAGGAAGGTGCGTTTTCAGATGGCCACGTGCCAGCTTGCTCATTCTCTGTGCACTTTAACGAACCACCACCAGTGCAGCAGCTGGGGCGCCATGAACGGGCCAGACGGCCGGGGGCACACAGCCAGCTTCTCCGATCAGGGATGCTGATCAACAGGCTCAGGTCCACACAGTCGGCAGCGACATTCTCTGTAACTCAGGAGCCTCTTCCTATTTCCTGTTGGCTGGCAAACCCAAGCGGCTGTCTAGAAGCTGTGACATCCCTGCCACATGGGCCTTTCCACCCACAAACCCGAGAGAATCTCGCACGTGTGGAACCCTTTTCCTGCCTGCATCTCTGACTTCTGTCTGATCTCTGGACCCAGATGTAAAAGATTCACCTGACTGGGCCAGGCCCACCCAGGCACTCTCCCACCTTGAGGTCGGCGGACTGGAGCTATTCAGTCTAACTGCAGAATACCATGGCCTCAACACCTACTTACGTGTTTGATTCAGGGGGAAAAGCTGCCAGGGCCTGGCAGCCTGGGGCCCATCAGAAGTCTTCCTCTCACAGAGGGTAAGTAAATAAGGGGGGGACGGAAGCTCTGAAGGATCTCAGAAGACACAGCCAACAGTACCACAGAATTACCAACTGCCAGGGCCTTGCCTTCAGGTGGGTTAGGGCCCAACCATTCTAAGACTGGCCTGCAGTCTGGCAATACGGCATCTCCGGGGCACCTAACAGAAACACAGAATCTCAGGCCGCGCCACTGATACCAAATCAGAATCTTCCTTTTAAAGGTATCTAACACTACTGATCATCACAAGAAGGGGCAGCAGTCTGTGTTTGCTCCTGGTATCTGGTGGGGAGAAGCCAGGGATGTTACTAAACATCCCACCATGCCCAGGAAAGTCCTGCAAAACAAAAAGTTACCCAGCCCAAAATGTCAGTCATGCCACAGGTGTGAAATCCCAGGTGGAGAAAAGACATCTTTTCCACCCTCCCCCAACTTCCTTTGGGAGCTAAAGCCCACCCTTTCTTTACCCTTGTGATGTATTCTCTTATTTCAATTCCCACCTACTGACATTTGGGAATTCCTAACTTAACACTCCATCAAACTCAGTCTTTTTGTCTCACTCTGAGTCTGAAGCTAAGGCCCAGCTTCTTCAGAGGATGGTGGGACCCCAGCCCTAGGTATGAAGATGCCACATAGGGGTCCCAGAGACCCAGATGTGTTGGCCACATCTTCCTGGAGCAGTGAAAGGAAAGTCCTATTTTTATGTTTAAGCCAGCAGTGACACACAGCCAGAAACAGGAATTTTACAATGAAGCAGGGGCGGGGACTAGCAGACAAGACCCTGCTCTGTTTCCAGACTCGCAGACCTGCAGCTGCTCTGTCCCCTCACCTGCCAGGCTTGGCAGGAAAGAGAGGGAACACTGACTGGACTCCTGAGACAGGACACGTCTGAGGTCAGACCTCCCAGGCAGGTCCTGCGCCCCACAGCTCTAATCAGCTCACTCTGGCTACAGCTCTCATTTACTGACCTCCCACCTGGAGAAGCTGTTCAGGTCAGAGCTGAGTGAGAACTGGGACCTTGGAAATTCCAAACTCTAGCTCCGACAGGCTGAAAGTTCCCAGAGAGCTGCATCAACAAAGTTATAACATTTCTTTAAACCAAAGTTGCCAACTTCATATTTTGCCAGTGAGCAAAGATCAAGGAAAAAAAAAAAAACTGTAGTCTTATTTCCACCACTATTTCCAAAAAGGTGTTTTAACACCAAAAACAAATATAAATGACCTAATTTTAGAATAAAGAACAGCCCATGCCAAAAAGGGGCAGTGAGCAACTTAGCTCACCAACAAACACAGAGTAAGCATAATTCAACTATTCAGTCAGTGAATGCGTACACACACCAGCCTCTGTCGTACCACACCAGACATGGGCTCATCAGGACTCCCGGAGCAACAGAAACTCCTGGCTCATCTGACACAGGGCCCCAGGGCAGGTCACCGGCAGCACAGCCAACATGGACCAGAAACAGGACTCAAGCAAAGAAGCCAGGGGTCGCCTGACACAGCCCCTCTGGAGGGCCAGGGACCGGGCCAAGGCTCAGACACCATACTCCCTCCCTGTGTGGACCCTGCAATCCCTGCCCCAACGAGCACTGACCCCACAGCGCACCAGAACCTAAGGTCCTTCAGAAGACCTGAGCCTTTACAGCCATGTCCAGGGAGCGCTGCCGAGCACTTGAACTAAAGTGAGATGAGACGATAACCAAAGCGAAAGTGTAAAGATGGCCCCTTGGCAGACTGAAGCCAAGATATGCAAACGGCCTCCCTAGGCTGAGACCATCTCCTGCCCAAGGCTTCTCTCACTGCCCTGCCCTTCCTGCCTGGCTGGCCAAGACCTATCCTTACAACACAGCTTTCCTATGTGTTACACCATCAAGGAAGCCAGCAGCTGGCTGCACAATTCCAGTGGTCACGATCCCAGGCAGTTTAGGATTTCATTCCTCAATGAAATGAGCTGGCTTTCCAATCCTATCTCTAGTGTCTATGAGCTCACAGTGTGAGTGCAATACTAAACACTAGGCCCACTCTGGGGTGCTGTGATCTCAGGCTTTTGAGTCAGGACATCTCAGGGCCAGACCATGACCTCTAGCTATCCTCCAAAACTATGAATATCCATGTTGGAGATGCGGAAGATGGCCAGCTGGCCTCCAGGATGAGAAAACACTGACCTGCCTCAACTACATAGAACTTGATCCAGTCCTACCTAGGACAGGTGTCTGTACATAGAGGCCCCTATCCCAACACACAACGCTCACCTGAGCCTTCTGGAACTTGATTCAGTCGTACCTAAGGGCAGATGTCTGTACCTGAAGGCCGCTACCCCAACATATACCACTCACCTGCATGCTCTGTTGGTACTGCATCTGCAGAGAGCCTTGGGCAGAGGTGGAAACATCCAGTCCAGATCCTCCCTCCACTCGCTGAGAAATGAAATTGTTCAAAGACCTCAGGGTGGACAGGACGGTGGTATTCTCCCCCAGGTCTTCCATGATTACTTCCCTTCTGGAAAAAAACAAGGGAAGCGTCACAGGGAGCCTTCTGATGCGCCATCACCATGGCCAGCTGCCCGGTCAGAGGGTACCTTTGGGGCAGTCCCACTCCCCTAATGCTCTCTCAGAACCCTTAAAATATTCCAGCGTCTGTAACCACATTCTTCGGAGTTAACTGGGAGCCCATACCTCCAGTTTCTCAGAGAAGAAATGGAAGCATAAAAAGACAGTGTGCCACCAAGCTACTGACCATCAGAGTGCTGACCAGCAGACCAGCAGGACAGATGGATGGCTCCCAAGACGAGGTGCTCACCAGTCAGGTGGCACACCTCCCACATAAGCACTCACAAAAAGCCTAGCTTCCCGGAATCAGAAACAAAGTACCCAACAGTGGCAGTGAGGATGACAACCACCGCAGTGCTAATTACACAATGACATCGCTACCATTTTTAGCCAGGTACCACAGAGAAAGGCACCTGATATTTAGTAAGCACCAAGGCCTCTGGGGCCCATCTCCTCATCTGAAAACTGAGGGCCCCACTTCTCAAGGCTGAGAGGATTACAGAGCCCAAGAGAAGGCTCCAAACGCAGACGGCACAGCCATCGCCAGAGTGTAACTGTCACTCTGCTTGAATTTCACATACGTCATCGTAATCCTCAGACTGGGCAGATGAACCAGGTCTTCTTGAATATTGAGAGGTGAGGCTTCCAGAGTTACAGAACTGAGATCTGTCTGGCCCTAAGGTCGACCGTGCCCCACAGGCCAAGGTGTGAAGGCCAAGGACAAGCAGCAGCAAAGAACCTGCATCCCCACACCTGTGCTAATCCCAGCCTCGCATCAGGCCGTCTACCGGTCAGAAAGCGCGAAAGTGTCCCAGCACAGTGAACAGCCAAAAGGTGTGAATTCCTCCAGGTGCATACCCTGTTCCTCCGAGGCAAGCAGCCAGCTCTCACTGATGACCCCTAAGTATCAGATGGAAAACACCTGCCCTCAACCCACTCCCCACCTCCAAAAAAGTGAAGAGTCTTGGTTTGATGCTGAATTTCCCATTTAACAAGAACCGTGACCTTGTGCACTGGGATTCCTGGTGGCTCAGTGGTAAAGAACCCACCTGCCATCGCAGGAGACCCGAATTTGATCCCTGGGTCAGGAAGATCCCCTGGTGGGGGGAACAGCAACCCACTCCAGCACTCTTGCCTGGGAAATCCCATGGATGGAGGAGCCTGGCGGGCTGCAGTCCACGGGGTCGCAGAGTCAGACGTGGCTTAGCAACTAAACAACTGTTCTTGTGCACGCAGAGCCCTTGTTTTCTGCAGTCTGTCCTTTCCACTCTCACCCAACACAGCAGTTCTCGCCACCTCTCCTTCATACACATGGAAAATGAACTGGGAGAGAGACCCGGGAGGAGCCCTCAAGAGAACTGTGGGCCTGGTAGAGAGACACGGCCCGCGTGGAGCCAGGCAGCAGCACTCTGCTCCGGAGGGCAAATCACTGTTGGACCAGGGCCACAATACTTTCCGGGAGTTGGTGATGGACAGGGAGGCCTGGTGTGCTGCAGTCCATGTGTTGCAAAGAGGTAAGACACAACTGATCGACTGAACTGAACTAATACTTTCCACCCCACGATGGGAAATTTAGCCAATATACCCTCTTCTCAAGACAGCATCCCCTGTAAGAGATGATACACCTTATACACAAGAATGAAAAGAACACATGCATTTTCACCTGCCTGGAACTAAGCCGCTCCATAAGGCAAGGGAAAAGGTGGAAGCTCAAACGCCATCCTCTGTATCCAGGAGAACTCAGGTCTTCCAGGAGCCTCACCACTGGGCGTCAGCTGCTCTGGACGGAACCCAGAGCTGGAGTGCAGAGCACTCTCTAGTGCCCTCCCCGTCCTGAGGGAACCTACAGACATTACAAGGATCCTCACCACTTGCAGCACCACTTCTCAGCGCCCCGGGCGCTTTCGCTGGCCTGCTGAGTTCACCGCTCCTCTACCTGCTTTCTCCTAACTTACACGAGAGAGGAAATCCAAGTGCCCCTCCCACTACCTGCCAGGAGAGCGACTGTGGGCAAGGCGCTTCCTATCTTTCCACCGGGTTCCCCGGGTGGAAAACGAAGTAGTGGCACCCCACATTGACCGCTCAGGTGCAGAGGTGCAGGCGACAGTGCGGTCAACTCGCAAGGAACTGAGGAAGAGCCCCTCAGAGTGCACCGCGCCGTCTCGGGCCGGAGGCGGCGGTGGGGGGATCGCCGAAGCCCCTCTCCTCCGAGGCCGCCTCTGCCCCGGCCGTTTCCAGCTCCTCTCGGAGAGGAAGTCTTGGGGCGGGGGGGCGCACTGGACGCCAAGGCTCAGAGGACAGAGCACGGAGCGCAGCGGGGGCCCGCAAGGACCCCGGCCCGGTGAGCGAGCGGACACAGTGGGTGCGCCGGTAAAAGCCCGGCGGCCCGGGTCTCAGAGAAGGACGCGGGAACGCCGAGGGGCCCCGGCTCACAGCCACCGGAGGAGGCCCGGAGGGCGGCCCCAGCCTCTTCCCTGCCCGACTCCCGCCGGTTCTGCTGGGCACCCGCCTCCGGCTCAGTCAGGCCCCCGCCCGGGACCCTGGCCGCTCACCTCACCGCCTCAGACTCCTTGCAGCCGTCACCGCCGCGGCTCAGATCTCCCTCTTTTGCACCCGAGCCCGCGTATCGCGAGACGTGCGCTTGCGCTCTCGCGAGATCTGGGCGAGACTGCCCGTAAAGCTCCGGGTGGGCGCACTGACGGATACCTGGGCCTCAGTGTCCGTCCCACGCCCGGGACGCCGCTGCTCTTCCACTGGACGGCTGTCTTGCACTGTCTTGTGTGGAATAGCACCGCCCAACGGTGGCCTCCTGGGGCCAAACTTTCTTGCACTCCTGACTAGTCCGCAGCCTTTGCCACTACGGTGTTTGCTTGAATTAATTAATGCATTTTTACTTTCCTCTAAGAAAAGAAAAACAGGAAATACTATGCTACTAAGCTGTCCTCCAAGCACTCTGGGAGCTGTTGGGGTGCGGAGCCGCCGTTTGGGTCCCGTTCTCCAGGGAGCAAGGGCGGGGCGCAGTCAGCCCACAGGCAGTAGGTCCTTCCGGGAATCTCTCCAGCCTGCGTCTACTAAGGGGTCTCTCAAGTCCCTTCTTCCTCCTCCGCAACCCCGGCGAAGCGCCCGAGGGTCTGCACCGCATTTCCAGAGAGTAAACCATGAATCTGTGTAGCCAGAAGGAAAAAGGATGTGGAGGTAGGACACGGGACAAGTGAAAATAAGATGAAAAAAAATTTTATAAGGCCAGCCTGCAGACTACTTCGCGGATATGGACTCCCCTAAGACCCCATTTCTTCCCCAGTCACCCTTGGGATTTGTGGACTAAAAAGCTGCCTGCCATATCAGTAAATAATGTTGCAGTCCTTAGCCACTCCTAAGGATGAGCTCAGGGTGAAAACAGATCAGTTGCTCTGTCATGTCTCACTTTGTGACCCCATGGGCTTAGTCGGCCAAGCTCCTCTGTCCATGGGATTCTCCAGGCAACGTTGGAGTGAGTAGCCAGCCCCGTCTCCAGGGAATCTTCCCCACCCAGGGACTGAACATGGGTCTCCTGCATTGCAGGCAGATTCTTTACCATCTGAGCCACCAGGGAAGCCCCAAAACCTAATGCCGGCCACCAAATCATCAGACTTTGCAGCTGCCACCATCCGCCACCCCACCTCCAGCCCCGACAGAGCACCCTGAGGAGACTCAGGGTGAGAAAGCCCAGCACACTGGCCCAGGCAGCTGAGGTACACATCAAAGGAAGAATTTCAGTGAGCCTGAGACTCCTGCATCTTCCCACACATAGGAAACCATTCAATTCTTGGAGACATCTAGTTTTTTATTAACCAGAAATCTTTTGCTGTTCCAAGCAGCTGGTCTTTGTTCCGAAAACTCCTATATACTCCAGCTGCTCCTCTTACCTCTTTGGGGCAGTCCCTCAGAGTTACCTGAGATACTGTGTCCCAGGCTTAAGTCCCCAATTTTATCTGCCAAATAAAAATAACTCCCAGCTTTTTAGGTTGTGTGTTTGTTTTCTGTCGACAAGATTTAATCATCATCACAGTCAATATACGCTTAAGGGATGAGCACTCCTCCAGAAAATGATTTCAAAAGAAATCAATTTTTTTTAAAGTATGGAAATTCCAGAAAATATTACACTCTTATGTTATTTTATAGCCTTGAGTTCCTGGAAGAGAGTAAAAGGAAATAAACACACCGTGTGTCTGCTTGCTTTGGTTATTACCTTTAAGTTTCTGGAGCCTGGCATGTTATAGAAACATTTCCAGTTTCACACTGCCCCCCGTCCCCGCCCCGTACATAATTCATACCAAATGTCTTCCTTAGGGAGCTCTCACTGCTTGAAGTATTTTCAGATCATTCACCACAAAGATGGAAACAAACCCTGACTGAAGGTTCAGATTTTTCTACATTACACTGTATAGCCAAAATAACACCTGGAAACCTGGGGATTGTTTTGCAGCAATGATGGAAGCCACTTCTCCTGTAACATACTAACCGTGCTGAGAAAATTCCATAAAGCTGTCTATGTGTTTCTCTGCCTCAGTGTTTTTAGGCATCCCAGTCTTTTCATCCGTTTATCTTTCTCTTTCTCATGGTAACTCTTCACAAATCATGTTATAGCGACCATTTTTTTATATCATCATATATCGTGAACACTGAATATAGTTCTTAAAAAAAGTTCCCCCATCTGTCCTGCCTGCTGCATCCTAGATCCAGCTCGGATCTCCCCAGCCACACTTCAGGACAGAGCTCAAGCTACATCTGCAGTGAGAAAGAGCCAAACAGCAGAGCAAGCGCTCAGCCCTTCAGACCTCCCGGCTTCCCTCGGTACTGTGTGGCCAGGAGGTACACCTCTGATGATTCTTTCCTGCTGGCCTCGGGCTTTACAGTCCTTGCGTTCTGGAATTCCTCAGTCAGTCTCTTCTGCAACCGATGGCTCTGACTTCCAGCCCAGGTTTTACAGAGGAATGTCCCCCTGGGGTGCAGGACATCTGGGACCATGTCCAGAAGGGACAAGCACAAGCTAATCAGCCTGTCGTGGTCGAGGCCACGGATCCCTGTGGCGTTGGGTGCCATGTCACTCAGGATCACGTCTGCTCTCCCACCAGGAAGCAGCTCTTGGATTTTCCGGAAGGTTCTAGGGTCAGTCACATCAGCAGGGCACAGAAACGTTGCTCCTTCCAGGGGGAATATGTGGAGAAGATCTACCCCAAGCACAAAGCCAACAGGAGCACTGGGGTCTAAGGAAGAAATGGTGAAGGTACTTACTCATTGACACCCCGAAATCATCCCACAAAAAGTAAATGTAACAAAATAATAAAACAGAGATAAAGAGGACTTTCTCTAGCAGTCCAACGGTTAAGAGTAGAGCCTTTCTCTCCCTTAAAAGGGTTCTTATCTCTGAGGAGTCTTTTTGATAAACTAAAACAGAGAAGGGCATATTATTATATAAAGTGCCTCTGGATTAAATCAACAAATCCATTCTGCAGTTTAACCCAATTTCTTTCAATGTAGAAACTATTAGAAACAAGCCAATAAACAGGGAAAGTGGACAGATGCTAAATAAGGTAAAAAACTGATACCCTGCCCATGTCTGAGTGCTACCAGCTGTGAAATAAAAAGATGTCAGTTTCCATCACCTGAAAGGGGATTTCCTGCCTGCAAGGCCACAGCCGCCCCCCTCCACCTCCCCCCAGCCCCTCCCAGCACCACTCCCTACACACCAGGGTGGATCCATGAAGGAACAGTCACAGACTCAAAGCTTGCTCTGCTTAGTAAAAAGGCTGCTCTGCGGGTGAGGGGCAGGGTATTTGATCTTTATCTAAAGATGAGAAGTCCAGCTGTTCTGCAGGGTGCCTCATTTTTCAAAGGCGAAAACTCTTTCAGCCCTGGAGAGTGGGACAGCTCTCCTCCCATTTTACGCATTTGTGCTCGTTCCTTTAACGTCCCACGTACAGTAGCCCCAGGAAGTGCCTTCTAAAAGCAAATGACAAAAAATAAATAAATAAAAGCAAATGGCTTTGGTTGCATTTTTGCAACTTCTTTTGGGAGTAAAAGAACCCAAGGCATTTTATGCACCCAGTCTCTGCTTCTCCCACATCTTCCTACAGGTTAAACTTAGCTGTTTTCCTGCTTCTCCTGAAGAGCAATCAGGGGGACAGGACCCTCTAACATCAGTCATTAGGAAGTCTGTGGATAGACTCAGTGGTGGGAAAATGAACTGAAGTTTTTGACACAGATTCATTCACTTGAATGATAAACAACTACTGAGCTTGTAACAAATGTTTTTAAACTGTTCTAAACCCCCGTGAGGCATCCTACCCACATTAAAGAGACTGATGACAAAACCCAGGGAGTGGCATGCCTGGTTCTGCAGGTCACTAAACTCCTGTAGATCTCCATTTTCTCATCAGGAAGATGGGCACACACACCCATTCTAAGGTGTATGGGAGAGATTTCTGTGACCTGCTCGTGCAGGTGGTAGCCTCAGAAGTTACAGTAGGAAATACAAGTGGTAAGGATTGTTACCTCAGCACTGCTCACCTACAAAAGACTCAAAGGCAATCTTGATGCCCATGATGAGGAAACTGGCTAAATACCAACAGTATAATCATTATCTGGGATAGTATGCAGCTGTTTAAATGGATGGCATCATTTTCTACCTTGTATGGATACTTAGTTGATTTATTGGTCAGAGGCAACTTTTTTATATATATGATCTTAGTTAAAACCCCCAAATATAGATGAGATAAGAACTAAGTCTCTCGAGCTGGGCCAAAGTGGAGAATCCAGAGCCACGAGGGCTCCCTGGGCAGTCCCAGGAGCAACTCCAGGAAACCCCCAGGTTGATTCAGTTGTCCTGTCAAGGGAAGATGTCGAAATATCAGCAAGCAAAAAGAAATCACTCTGCGATTTCTTTGCTGAGGAAAGAGACTTGACTTACAGACGGCTGTCTGATTTCGTTGCTGAGGCCACACATCAGCGGCACAGGCCCAGGACACACACTAGCGTGTCGGCCTACATGCTACTATGGTGTGGTCACAGGTGATTTTCACCTTCACTCCCCCTTTCTACCTCCCTCTTTCATTTTGAAAATGTCAGTGTTGTTTGTATCATTCCTACTAAACCAGCACGCAGAAGCATGTGCTTTCACAAGGCGACTTGGCTGTTCTGTGTGCCCTGAAGAGGGCGGCCAGCCTGCGTCCAAACCACAGTGGTCGGAAGGCCCCTGAGACAGTGCGGAGGCCCCACCTGTGCCCGCAGCGTTGACTCTCTGCACAGCCACCTGGCTCCACGCGCCAGGAGCGGCCCCACAGTCTAACACCCGGAGGCCAGGCCGTAGGATCTGGTGCCTCTCGTTCATTTCCAGGAGCTTGAAGGCGCTTCGACACCGGTAACTTTCCACCTTCGCAGCTTTCACAAATGGGTCCCTCAAATGCCGCGTCAGCCACAGGTGCTCAGCGCCAGTCCTGCCCTTGTAGCAACTCCCAGTGGTGTGGAACCTTTGACGCTGAAGGGAAGCCCACACCAGTTTCAAGGACCTGGTGAGGAAAAGGGAGCAAGCAGGTTGACATCCCATAGGCCGGTGGGGCCCCAGGTTCAACCCGCACATGTTCAGAGATGGGTCACCATGGCCCAAGTGGAAGAGGCGACTTGCCAAGGCTGCAGCGGAAAGGTTTTGTGGGCTGAACCACACCCCCCGAGTCTGCGTGTGCTCAATCACGTCCAGCTCCAAGACCCCACGGACTGCAGCCCACCAGGCTCCTCTGTCCATGGGGTTTTCCAGGCAGGAGTGCTGGAGTGGGTCGCCATTTCCTTCCTGCCATTTCCAGGGGATCTTCCCAACCCAGGGATCCAACCCTGTCTCTTATGTCTCCAGAACTGGCAAGTGGATTCCTTACCACTAGCACCACATAGGAAGCCCAAAGTCTCTATGAGAAAGTCCTAACCCCCAGCACCTCAAGATGTGACTGGTCTTTAATGAAGCAATTAAGGTAAAATAAAGTCGTGTGTGTGTGTGTGCGCGCTAAGACACTTTAGTCGTGTCCGACTCTCTGCAACCCTATGGACTGTAGCCTGTCAGGGTTCTCTGCTCATGGGAATCTCCAGGCAGAATACTGGAGTGTGTCACCATTTCCTTCTCCAGGGGATCTTCCCAACCCAGGGATTGAACTCGCATTTCTTTTTTTTTTTTTTTACACCCTCCCCGAACTCACATTTCTTATGTCTCCTGCACTGGCAGGCGGGTTCTTTACCACTATCTTAAATGGTAAATGGGTGGGCTCTAGCCAATACTGGTGTCCTTATATGAAGAAATCAAGACACAGACACACACAGGACAAAGACCACATGAAGACATAGGGAGACGACGGCCGTCTGTAAGTCAAGGGGAGAGGCTTCAGAGACTGATCCTGCTGACAACTTGATTTCAGTTTTCCAGATTCCAGACACTCAGCCAGTAAATTTCTGCTCTTTCAGTCACCCATCCTGGGGTGCCTGCTTGCAGGAGCCTGAGCAAATTAATCCAGCAGGCCTCTCCTCTGTAGTCAAAAGATGTTTTTCTCTCCCAAAGTTTTCTTAACAAGAAAATCTCAAACGGTAATGACAGTCACTTTGTATCAACCAAAGTTTTCCCAGTACTGGTTGAAAACACTGATAAATTTCATGAAAGGAACATTCTTTCTCACGGGATACAAATTTTCATTGGGCTTTAAGAGATTTAAAAAAAAAACACAGGAGGACAGGTCCTTTGCCTTACTTACTTCCACGGCTTGGGCAGGCAGCACAGGGTCTGACCAACCTGTCACATTTCTTAATAAAATTGAACTTGCCCTGTGTATAACTCAGAAGGGCAATTTTCAAGCCTCTTTGGAAAGTGGGGCTTTTAAGTTTATCGAATGCCATGGGTTATCTACACTTCACTTTATTTAACTCTCAGAACAACCCTACAAAGTATCTACATTCTTTTCTTCTGAAGAAAAAAAAAAAAAACCACTATTATTAGTCCCATGGCTCCCAGGCAAAGTTCCCCTCAGAATGAAAACATGTTGACAAAGATCTGGAGACAATACTTTTGAACTGCTGCCTTCAAAAGGCGTAAGGAGCCTCAGGGAAAGAGGGCACAGCGGTCCTGGGCGCCGAGTTAACCAACCGTCAGCGAAGCGGTGGAGAGGGGAGTTGCACACCCCGGGTCCACCTGAGTGGGCAGCTGACCGCCAGCCCCATCCCATGACCAGGGTCCAGCCACACGGGGCTCTCGTTTCCGTGACACAGGCTTCAGGCCTGCGACACCTCCAGCAGCAGCGCCCCCTCCTCTCCCTAAAGGCCTCCAGCTCTCCGCCCGCCGTCGCTCCTCGGGAGCCCTGGACGGTCCGAGCACGGCCGGTCCGCTCCAGTCACCTCGCTGGGGCTGACCCGACCCCTTTCCGGGCCAGAACGAGGTAAGTTCTGAGCCCCTTTTCGGACCCGAAAAATGGGGCTGGCGTCTGGCTACTCCGCCTCCCGCACACACGCAGTAGGTGCTCCATTAATTCCCACTGATCGCCAGCCGCCGCGCCCACCGACCGCCCACCTCAGCCGCCTCACCGCTCACCCGGCCATGGACTCGGACCAGCTCCCGCAGCCGCCACCGGAAGTGCCAGCCTCACTTCCGGCCCGAGGCCACGCCCCCGGAAGCGGCGCGTGGGTTCGAAAGGCGCGCGCAGTGCCGGGACCTGGGTGATTGCGGGTGCGAGAGCACAGGTGAGCAGGGCATGCGGCCGCCGGAGATGGGCCTGGGACCCGCCGAAGGGCAGCTGGAGGCCCTACACGGGCGGCCAGATACAGGAGCCGAGCCTGGCACTCGGCGGCGTGTAGTCTCTTTAAACCCTAGTCACGGGCCTCAGTGGACCGGTGATCCCGTTCTGAGGACACCCTGCTGAGAAAGGGGCCGCCTGGCCCCTGACGTCAAGTGGGCACCCTGGGGACCCGCCTGACGGTAGTGCCAAGAGCTGTGGCCAACTGGACTTCAACAGCAGGTAGACCCAGAGTTCGGTACTGGCTCTGGAGTTTGATTTTCTGTCAGACTTAGCTTTTCTGAGCTTCAGTTTCCTTGGCTGAAAACAGAAGCCAAGTCTCAGCTCACAGGGTTGTTGGGTCTGTTAAGTGGGATGCGTTTTGGAAAGTATATGATCCGTGCCTAATAACTGACAGCTGAGATTCCTAACTAATTTAGGAAGTCACGGCTTTGCGCCTTAACAGGTCAGCAACATGACAAAGTCCACAGGTTAAAGGGAAGCGGGACCCAGAGACCCACTTCTGCACAACTGGCCGCCAGCACCGGGACCTAGGCCTCAGTCCCTGTTCTCGGACACCGTAACTTCCCAGGAGCACCCCTGGTCCCGAATCCTGCATCTCGTCCAGTGTGGGCCCCAGACCAGGATGAGGATGGGTGGACAGGGACCACGGTCCTGGACCTCCAGCATGTCTCCAGCAGTGACCAGACGTCCCCTGCAGGGTCTTTCTCTGGACCACACACACACACACATTCAGGCAGGAGCGGCGTTCCAGGCCCTGAGCACCAGCTCCCAGAGCAGCAGTGGTTGTGAGCAGAACATGAAAACCTGTCAGAGCAGGGGAAACCGACCAGGCCTCAATGGGTGGGCTCTCCACGATCAGAGCTGTACATTTCTTGGCAATCTGGGGGTCTGCTGCTGCAGAGAGGCAGAAACCAGAACCCAATAACCAGAAGGCCCCATAATGAAAAGGCCAAGACCAAAAGCCAGACGCAAGAACCACTGGGTAAAAAGCATGGTTCATTTCATGCCAGGTGGTCTTAGACGTGGACGCAAGAGCAAGAACAGCCCTGCACTAAGGAGAGAGGCAGAGTCGACCTGGCCATTGGCTGACCAGCATCACCCCAGCAAGCAAAGGGCCCAGGGCTGATGCCGCTGGGTCTGGGGGCCAGGTCTCCATCTACCCCAGAAAATCTGCCACATCGGGCAGAACTGGGACGTCACCTCTCCCTGCTCTCCAGGACACGTTTCCAGTCCACCTGGCCACCAAAATGCCCATGCTTCCATCCACACCCTGTCCACACCCGAATCAAGCTGACCCAGCCCCTCGCCTTCCTCACAGAACCCAAGGGCACCATGCGCAGCTCAAGGCTCTACACGTTGGTCCTGGTGCTGCAGCCTCAGCGAGTCCTCCTGGGCATGAAGAAACGAGGCTTCGGGGCCGGCCGGTGGAACGGCTTCGGGGGCAAAGTTCAAGAAGGAGAGACCGTGGAGGATGGGGCCAAGAGGTGAGGGGAGGGGCAGGCCTGACTGCAGAGTCAGCCTCCACAGGGGCCAAGGACTCAGGCTGTAGAGCCAGACCCCTGACCACTCAGAGCCATGTGACCCGGGGCACAGGCTGGACCCTTGAGCCTCAGTTTCTTTATCTGCAAAGTGGGGGTAATAACAGCATCTGCTCCCTCTTGGCTTCCCTGTGCCTCAGTCAGCAAAGAATCCACCTGCAGTGCAGGAGACCGCCTACAATGCAGGAGACCTGAGTTCCATTCCTGGGTCAGGAATATTCCCTGGAGAAGGAAACGGCAACCCACTCCAGTATTCTTGCCTGGAGAATCCCATGGACAAAAGAGCCTGGCGGGCTAAAGTTCATGGGGTCACAAGAGTCATACACAACTTAGCAGCTAAACCACCACCACCACCACCACCTCTTCGGATTGTTGTGAGGATTTAGTGAGAAAATAAGCGTGAGGACTGAACGGGGCCTGGCACGCGGTCCAGGCCGAGTACACCTTGGCTTGCTGCTGTGTGGTGGTGGTTTGGGTGGAAAAGTCATGGTTTCCTCTTTCTAGCCAAGGGGCTTCTTCATTGGTTCAGGGGAGCTGATGATGATCGTATCTGGGACCTTTCACTCACGGTCTCCGTTCTTCTTGGACACCAATTACATTCCCATGGGCAAGAACTGAAGCCCAGAGACACGGAGCAGGCCCGAGGTCACACAGCCCTCCAGACTTCAGCCTTTTTGCCTTCTTGCCCCTCAGGCTCATGGGGATAAATTCATCACCCTGTGTCATCCATTGAGCCCACAGAGTCTGGCCCAACGCCTCCTTCCCATCCCTGCCCCCCGTGTCAGGACCCGCCCTGACAAAGGACTGCGGAGCCCCTGCAGGGGGGCGGTCAGACGGGCGGCACGTCCCCGTGTCCGAGAGAGGCTCGGCCGCTGGGGCAGCTCTGGCTCCTTTCCTGGCCCGTGCGTGCAGCTGCCCCTCAGTGGCAGCCCCGCTCTGACGGGCAAGGTAACTTGGGGGCTGGCGGCGCCTTGCAGCCAGGTTCGGGCTCTGGGTGTGAAGCAGGCCCACCATCCTGGCCAGCGTTCCCAGAGCTGGTGAGGATGCAGAGTGTGGTTTTCAGAGAACTCCCGCAGGCCAGGCTGGAGGAGGAAGAGCAGGTGGGCCCCCAAGCTCCGCAGCGGGCTCCGGACCACAGGGTCCCACGCCTCCGCCCCGCTCCCACCAGGGCGCTCGGCTGTCCACGGCTTGGTTTGAAGTGTCACTCATCCTATTCCCTGCCGCCATCTGAGGAACATCCCAGAAATGGAATCAGACACGTTAGCAGAACTGGAACAGTATCATCTCCGGCTGCCTCATTATCCAGGCCTGAAACGGTCTGATACTGAGGAGATGACTGATATTTCATGCCCCGCCATGGACTCGGGGAAGATGAACCCAAATTAGTCAAAACAGTGAATCAGTCGGTGATGTTTTTAAAAACAAGCTCCGCCAGCCTGCTGCCCTGCTCAGTGCTTCTATTACGTCTAATTGGGGAGCCATTTGCACCCCCACTAGCAAAAACACGCTCATTTTTTTAGGTCGTGTCTAGTTTTGATTAATCATCACAGTGAGTACGTTCCAGCTTTCGGAACATCACTCGGGCCATGCTGAATAGCAGCAGGTGGACCCAGTTCCTCTCCTGGCCTCACGGGGAAGTTAGGGCAGAGTCTAGGCTCAGGACGGCGACTGTTTAAATAAGACCGTTTAACCCAACGTGCGTGTTTAATGAACACACTGGTTTCCCTGACTCCTAGTTGTGGGCACAGAAAGTAATTATGCACTGTGTTCCTAACAGAACTCCGAGATCAGAGCTTAAAGAGACCTTTTTATAACCTACAGCTCTAAAAGGTCAGACATAATTAGAACAGTTTTACAGCCACAGAAATAAATTCAGAGCAGTGGGGAAGTGAGAGTCGCTAACAGGAGACACAGGCACTGAGCTTCACGGCTGCAGGGCTCGTGGGGCCCCCAGAGCCCACAGCAGACCCTCCAGAAAGTGCTGTCCCGGATGATGAGAAGCAGGCCAGGGGAGGGGCTGGGGCAGAGGGCGTGCCTGAGGGCGCTAGGCAGGAAGGTTTCGCGATGCGCAGGTGGGGTGCTTGTCCTCTGATACACCACGGCAGAGAAACTGGTTGGACTCCTGCAGGCGTAGAACGCTGCTCCCCAGCGTGGTGTGAGAAGCACAGGTCCCAGGTACAGGTGCTGCTTGCAGCTTTCAGAGGGGCACACGGAGGACAGAGGCCCGGAGGGAAGACGCCAGTGGTCACGAGGGTTCTCGCTGGGCTACCAGGCCATGTGTGTGCGCTGAACTGCCTACAGCATATACACGGCTTGGGGATGTGTTGTTAAACAGGCACTCGTGTTTAGGGGGGCATGCTCGTTTCCTCCTGAATCAGCTAGCTTGTGAGCTCAGGTGGGGCAACTAGCCCCCGGCCCCTCCTCCCAGCATAGGTAGGGGGCGGGGAGAGAACTGGGGTCCTGAGAAGGATGGCACAGCGAGGAGGGCCCGAAGCTCCTCCCCTGCGATCAAGTTCGGATGAGGCCCGAGAGGGCAGGGATGTCTGCTTGGTGAAAAGAGGTAAAACCACCCCTCCTCTGGGAACGAGGCGAGAGGAACCTGTGGGCTGATGCAGAGCTCCGAGCAGGGCGGGCCAGAGCGGGACTCTGGGCAGGAAGGCTTTGGCTCAGGGCCCGGCGGCTGCATGAGGACCTGAGTGGGTGGGTGGGGGCTCCCGGCTCTAGCGTGGTCCTCCCCCAAGTGGGACCACCAAGCGGCCACGCGGGGCCAGGCCAGGGCTGCCCCTCGGTGCCCCCGGGTGTTCGGCGGGTGGGGGGCGCATCTGGGCGCCCGAGACAGCAGTCCTAAACCCGACCCCTTGGCCACACACATGCACTCTCCACGCCTCCACCCACCCATCTCCACTCTGGTTCCTCGTGGACACAGGCGCCTCGATTTAACTGTCGCCTCCCATCTGCCCGTCTGTCCACAGGGAGCTGCAGGAGGAGAGTGGTCTGACCGTGGACACGCTGCACAAGGTGGGCCAGATCACGTTTGAGTTCACAGGTGACCCCGAGCTGATGGACGTGCACGTCTTCTACACNCCAGGCCTCACTGTGACCCACCCAGTCTGTCCTCGGGAATCCTCCAGACGTGCCAGGCTGTGACCTGCATCGTCAGACAAGGACAGGCAGAGACACGGGCCCAAAGGGCAAGGGGCCGGCTGGCATGGGAGGCCCGCGGGGATGTGTGCGGGGTCCCAGGGTGTGCCAGGGGCCGTCTCCTCCCACCTCCCCCCCCCAGATAAGGGGAAGCCGAGGGGCGGTCAGCGCCCAGGGCTCACGCCCCAGTCTCATCTGCCATCAGCTGGTCGCCCTCCCGCCCCCAAGGCAGGCTGTTCCCATCCTGGCTTCAGACCCCTGGGGGGCGCGGGAGGGTCATCAATCTGTCACACACAGACTCAGCCTGACGCAGGTTTTATAAATATGTTTAATGATAGTTGTTCATGTAAGTTCATTGATAAAAATCTCAGAATGTAGCTCATTTGTAAACAATTCCAGTTAATTGGATGTGGTGGTCATTGACTCCTGCAGCCTCATAAAGTGCTTCATACATAAACGGACTCGCACAAAGCAAGAGAAAAGGCCTCAGATGCAGGGCTGCCCTGAGCTCCAGCGGCCGAGCCCTGGCCGCGTCTCCCTCCACGGCTTCGCCCGGCGACTAGGCCGTGGCCGAGTCCCACCGAGCTCGCCGGACACAGGCTGTAGGGACGTGGCCTGAGGGCACACCCCGCGCGGCCACGCTTAGTCCACCCAGGCCCTGGAGGGGCCGGGGCTCCCACCGGGTCACAGAGCCGCTGTCCTTTCCCAGGCACGGCCAGGCTCTCCCTGGGGGCGAGGGAAGCCTGGGAGCAGGAAGGACGCAGAGGGTGTGGGGACCCCCACCCAGCAGCAGCCTCTCCTGGCTCCCCCCCCAGCAAACACTGATCAGAAAGCCCGCATCCAGCAGCCCGGGGTGGGGAGGGAGGCGGGGGTTCCAGGGAAAAGGTGCCTTCGTCCCCAGCCGCCGGCAGGGGGACACAGCATGCCCCCATCACCCCCAGCCTCCTGACGCCGCCTCTCCTGGGGTGAAGAGGATGCAGACTACAAAGCGCCCCCCCACCCCCGCAGCCCCTAAAGAAGTGCGTGCTCCCCGTGTCCACGTGGGAGCCAGTCCTCCAGGAGCAGTCACCCTGTAACAGCATCTCAAATCTTTGGTGCCAGAACTCGCCCGGTGACCCGTGTGGGGAGATGCCCCCCCCAACCTGTGCTGCTGGCCCAGGGTCTCGGGGCCATCGGCTCACACCAAGGCTGCTCTGGGGGCACTGGCAGGACCCACGTGTGGCGGGCCCAGGCCGGGGCGGGACACGCTGCATCCTGCATCAGACGTGCGTCAACTCGTCGGGGACGCCTGCCCATCCCCCAGAGCCTCCAGGCTCTGCATGTGGACCTCAGACGGAGGGCAGACCCCAAACCAGGCATGTGTTCCCGAGAAACCCTCAGGATCCCTCCCCTGCAGTCACCCTGCTCCAACCTCCCCCTCACCCCCGAGCAGAGAGCCGTGAGGGCTTGGGGGCAGACGGGTTCCAGGCCTGGCTTCCACGTCAAGGGTCCAGAGCAGAAACACCTGGCCCCAGGCGGATGCAACCCCACTGGGCTCAGACGCCCGGCCGGAGCCAGCGGAAGGGAGGCTGGAAGGGGGTCCCATTGCTCTGAAGAGGAGAGGTCACCAGCAGACACGCCCAGGCCCGCTGCGCGGCCAGCCTTGGCCCGCCCAAGGCGGGACAGCAGCCGTCTGAACATGGACAGACCCACGGCGGAGGCGCCAGCTCCCGGGCCTCCAGACGCCGCGGTCCCTCTGTCTCCCCGCCCCAGCCCGGCGGGCACGCAGATGCGAGCGTGCAGGCAGGCACACCCTCCAGGGTGCTCCCCGGGGCACGTGGGGGAGCCCGCTCCCGGGATTGACCCACTCCCACCGCCAGGAGTGGTGCCGGCCACCGCGCACACCCCAGGCGGCCCCGGCCTTGCTCCCCGAGAGGGAGGGGAGCCACGGCTACCTGGACCCCCGGCCCCGCCACAGGGGGCGTCAGCCCGACACGCAGGTGCTCGGGGTGGGGGCGGGCACCGACTGAGGGAATCAAACAGGGACACACCGTTCCGAAAGAGGTTTTAGTGAGGGCGCCGAGCTGTCCCCGAGCCCCCGGGCACTAGTGAGCAGACAGGCCGTCCTGGGGGGGCCGCGGGGGGGTCGGGGCGCCAGGCGGTCCCACGAAGAGGCAGCGAAGCTTGGGCTGCAGGTCGTTCCACACCTTGCTCATCTGCGGGAAGAGGGGGTGGGCCAGCTGAGGGGCAGCTGGCGGACACGCAGCACAGGCACCCCTGCGTCCCCGACCCCAGAGTGGCTTCCCACCCCTGCCCTGCAGTCCCCCCACCGCCAGGGGCCACAGGGGCTGCTCCCTCTGCCCTGCGCATGGACAGACGCGCCAGGACGCCCCGCGAGGGACTTTAGGGAACTTCAGCACTGGGTCGCTCCCGCCAAAGGCTCTGCAGCGAGGCCGCAACAGCGTCCACCACAGGAAGGCAGAAACAAGGCACGAGCCGGGCGCCGCCGTGGCTCCCAGGCCCTGCGGCGGCCTGCAGGAGCGGGGCCGTCGGCACGGGCAGGAGGGGAGCCGGGTGGCGAGGGGCCGTCTGAGATGGGCACCGGGGCAGAACGGCTCAGGGGCTGCTGAGAGCAGGGCGGCCCGGGGCATGTGCAGTGAGTCCACCGCCGAGTTTGGAGACGGGGGACCAAGTCGCCCATGGAGGAAAAACAGTGCTGCGGCAAGGGACGTGCCCGCCTTCTACCTGTCGCCCAGCAGCCCCTGGACCCGCCTGTGAGCGCTAACCACCGTGCAGCCCTGCCCCCATCCGAGCGCCCTGCTGCCGCCTCAGCCGCATGTGCAGTTCCCGAACTGTGCCCGAGGGCGCCCCAGGCAGGCACCCCAGCAAAGTCCAGGGGCACCAGGAACTACAGGAAACATGCAAAGGAAGCTCTGTGCTGGTCACAGGACACGCAGACCACCGCCAAGAGCCTGCCCGAAGCCACGCGCTGACAACCAGGACAGGTGGGCGGACTCTGGCCTTGGGCCGCCGTGAGCGCCAATGTGCTGAGAAAGCCGAGAACCTGCTGCAGACAGCGCGGGCCAGGCTGCCTCAGGCTGCGGGGTCCCCTCACAGGCACGGCCCCCCAGCCCCTCACACCGACACCCCACCTCTCTGCTCTTGTCCCGGGATCTGTGCGCCCCGCTGCTGACCTTCCCTGCAGCTCCTCCTCAGGCCGGGGACCCCGTCCCCCCCATCCCACGCCCCCCAACCACGAGGACAGCCTCACGGTCTCCCCAGCTACCAGGAGACCGCAGAATCCAAGAGCCGTGTCAGGTCCTGGCGCCCGCCGCCCGCCCAGGTTACTCGTCAAGGTCAGCCGGGCAGCTGCTTCAGGAAGGAGGGTGCCCGCCGGCCCGGACCCACCTCCTTGTGCCCTTGGATCTGGGAGTTGACGAAGGCCCCGAGGATGTGGGAGGTGAGCGGCAGGTAGACGTGGACCAGCTGCGTCTCCTGGTGCAGGCAGTACAGCGAGAAGTGGTTGCGGAGCTCCATGGTCTGGATCACGTTCTCCTGCTGCAGAGCAGAAAGGCCCTGGCGCCCGGCCCGGCACAGCGGGCCCCTCCCGGGCCCCGCCCCTGGGTCACAGCACCCGTCACTGAGGCACAGGCGTCAGGGTCCCGGCAGCTCACGGAGCCCCCCAACACACACACACAGAACGGCAGGGAGGACGGCGGGCCCGGCCGGCAGGGCGGAGAAGCCCCGCCAGCCCGCCCCCACCCGGCGCAGACGCACCTCCACGATGCGGGACTCCAGCTGCTCCACGGACTCGGGCTCGCGGCTCTGCGCGGCGGCGCTCATCATCTGCCTCTTCATCAGGCTGTATTTGTGCAGCGCCCGCTGGTGCTTGTGCAGCACGCCTTTCTCGTGCCGCTCGCACAGGTCCTGGGGGCGGGGGCGGTCAGGGCTCCGGCCTCCAGTGGGGCCTCTCCCCCTCAGACACCCACCTGCACCCCACTCTGCACGCTCAGTAGTCGCGGGAGGGACAGGCCAGGGGAGCCGCCCAGGGCCGAGCTGCGAGGGGCTCATGGTGCAAATCAGCACAGCCCAGGACCCACGGGGATGCATGCACGCCAGGCCGGCTCCAGACCGCACACCATGAACTGACCGTCCCCAGAAAGCTGGCATGCCGCCAGCAGCAAGACCAGACAGGCTCCCGAAGGAAGATGCTCCGGCATCTCCCTGGGGCCCCAGGATCAGCTGGTCAGAGGCCTTGTGGGAACAGGAGCCATGGAATCACAGGCCGCCGCCCCAGGATTCCTTTCTAGAACCTTCCCCACCAGGGCCAGCGCAGCACCCTGAGGTCAGCACCGAGGCCGCATAGGGAGTCAACCCACCACCAAAGATCAGCAAGGCGCCCCAGCCCCGAGCTGAAGTCTGACTTCCAGCAACCTCCTCCTGCCTGTCTGCACATTGGAGCCACACCCCCCCGGGGGCAGCCTGCAGGAGACCCCTCCACCCTCCGCAGCCCTGACCTCAGGCTCTTGCCCCACCCCCCAGAGCCACGCCCTTGAAAGGTCACAGCATCTTTTCAAGCAGCTGCGAGACTCACTTTGTAGGATTGCAGCAAGTCCAGGAAGAGGTTCAGCTTCTCCACCACATCGTTCTCCTCCTGTTTGCCCTAGAAAACACGGGGCGGGTGGGCCAACACCACCCGAGCACATGGCCGGAGTCGAGCCGAGGCTGTGGGCTCGGCCACACAGGTGCCCTGCCCCCCTGACTGGCAGGGGACACGGAGAATGGAGGCTCCTCCCCGGGTGTGTGGCGGGGGTGCCTCCTACACGCAACAGTCACTACCAAGTCCCAGTTCTGTTCCCGATGCTTTGCAAGACCCTAAACCACCAGCACACATGCCTTTAAAAAAAAACGGTCACTGCAGAAGAAACCCCCCCGTGAGTCTCACCTATCTGGCTGGGACACAGTTATCAGGCCTCCCAGCTGGTGTGGGGAGAATAAAACCAGGACACATTAAAACAGAATTGAGAACGAGCCCTCCAAGGTCTTCACTTGCACAGCAAGCATGAGATGGAACCCTGGCCCTGACGGTGACAGTCCTGATGTGCCATTTCTCCAATCTAATATAGTTAACACTGTACTGATTTTATTCCAACATAGAAACCACCAAAGACACAGGAATGTTCAGGAAACTGCACCTGTGCAGACATGACGGCCTGTGTGAGGAACCCGAGAGAAGCTCAGAGGCAAACTACAAACCGCACCCCGTCAGAGGCCACACACCCCCTCTCCTCGGGGCAGACACCGCATCCACTTCCGGGTCAGAGGAGACCCTGAGTCAGGCGCTCCCACCTGCCGTGTGCACCCCCTCCCAGGTCACCTGTCCCATGGGGGCTATGGGCCAGGGCCTGCGTCCCAGCTTCCCTCGCAGGTTTTACAGACTGAGCTCTCAGTAGAGGGTCGAAGCTTAAACGAAAAGTTGTCCCCAGCTGGTCCAGCCCTCTCGTTTCTAATCGTGGAGAAAGGACCTGGGGACCAGTGCGGGGTGAGGTCCCTGCGTTGAGACTCGGGCCGGCGCAGAGCAGGCTGCCTGGGCTCGCCCCGTCTATACCCTGCCAGCCCTCTGACGCCACGCTCTCCGTTCCCCCTCAGACCCAGAGATGGGCCAGCCCAGCGCCAACTCCAGGAGACGCGGACATCGCCCGTCACTCAGTTTCCAAAGAGAACCCACGGGCAGGGCGACCGCGGAGGAAGAAAACCCAGGACCTTCCACACCAGAAACACGGTTAGATTCCCGTTCCGACACTCAGAGCCATGTGGGCCGCTGAGCATGCATCTGGAGCCTGAAAACCCCCGCATCTGCCCATCGCTGACTCACTACTAAGGAGCTTCAGGCCTCTGCCGGGCAGCAAGGCCTCCACAGGGACAGCATTTCAGTGCATTTAAAACCGCCCACCAGCAGCCTAAAGCCCATTTCCCCAAGAGCCAGGAAGCACGCTCTCACCCCTAAACTTAAGTAACAGTTTTATAGCCTAAGAGCACCCAGATGGACTTCTCTTTTCCCTCTGACTGAAAATTAGTCCCCAGCAACAAGATTCTCTGCAGACTTCTATTATACAAGTAACACTGCCCGCAGAACAGAAGTGTTTCTTGAGGTTAACTGGGTGTCCAGGGTGAGACCTGGGTGGGGCCCCTGGGGTGCTGGGAGCCCGGTTGCTCTGATCAGTTATCAAGTGGCCGAATGCTACCTGACCAGGAGAGCAAAACAGGGGCTGCCTGTGCACTCAAGGCGCCCTGGCAAGTGCAAGGTTACAGCTTCAAGGTCAGGGCAGACCTCACAGTCTCAGCAAAGTCGGCTCTCCGGGACCAGGACCCAGTGTGTCCCCGGCATCAGCAAGTCTCAAGAGCGTGGAGACCTCCGGAAGCCACCCGGGACAGACAGGGACGTGCAGAGCCGACCGGACAGCCGTGGTGCCCCCACGCAGGACTCACAGCCCTGACGTCCCCCGCAGGAGACGCCCCGCGCACCACGGCTCAGGTGTCCTTGGGGACAGGCGCCTGGGGGCCAAGCCCACTCACCTGCTGCGCAGCCTTGTCAGCCAGCAGCGCGAACTCCACCGACAGGCCTTTCAGCGCCTGTTTGAGGGACCCCCACGTGCCGCTGTTCAGTGAGGCCCAGGAGGGGAGCGGGGTCGTGTCAGACCCCAGAGCGCTGAGGGAAGAGGAGACACTCGGGAAGAGACACGCAGGCCCGGAAGCCGGGCGGGCAGCCAGCCCAACACCCCACTTCCTGACACCACGCCCCACCCCCCACCCCCGGGCGCCCTGCACATCTCCTAACCCAGACCCCCACTGCTCAAAGAGCAGGCGCCCAGGGCGTCTGTGAGAAAGGTGGCTGAACCACGTCACTAAGACCCAGGCTGGAGGCACGCAGTTCCGGGGAGAGCCACGAGGGGCAGCGCTGGCTGGAGGCCTGGCCCCTCCTCCAGAGGAGACGGAGCGTGACCAGCCCAGGGGTGGCCTCTTCTCAGGT